CTTCTTTTAAAAAGAAAGGGGGGGTGGGGGGGAAGGGAAGAAGAAGAGGAGTCCGGTGGAATGTGTGGAGGAGAGGCCGAGGGCTGCTGTTCGCCATCCCCACTGCTCTGGGAAAGACTACATTATACTATAGATATACATCGCACGTATAGATATGCATAGTGGGAAGGAGAGTCAGGATCACCAACATCATCCTGCGGAATTATTTCCACTCAGGGGGCAGGGAATGTGGGGTGGAAGGGAGAATTCGGGGCTGGGCCCCTTCCGAGCCCCGCTGCAGGCGGCTGGGGGGAGCCCGGGGTAAGTGTTGAGGGGCTCCTCCCGTGCACCCCCCTTGCCAGCCCCAGTGGTCCCAGCTGTGCCCCCAAACCCCCCAAACACTTCAGGGGAAGTCACTGAGAGCATCACCCACCTTCGAGCAGCGCCCTGATGACAGCTTTAAGAGAGGACAAATAGTTGGATTTGTGTAGGGGGCAGACGCCTCCCTCGCCCTCGCCTGGCTGTATTTCTGTATTTATTCCCCAAACATCCGAAATTTCTAGTGTCTAAATAAAATCTGAAGCAGGGGCTGGGAGTCCGAGCGCTGCTACGAGGGCAGGAAACTTTCTGAACTTTGTTGTTCACCCGGGGACACGAACACACGCACAAAAAGCGCCGCACGCTTTTCCTAGATGAAGGGAAATTAAAGCTGGGGTGGTTTGGGGGCTGAGAACAGGGGGGATAAGGCGGGGAAAGCCTCGAGCAGGAGTTGATATTGCAAATAAAAAGGGCTGTCCCGGGTTGTACAGTTCCTCAGGGGGATCTTGTCCCCCCGTGGGATTTTGTCCCCCCGTGGGACTGCAGCGGGTGGGCGCTTGCGAGGCTGCACCCGAAGACAAAAGCGCGAGAGGGAACCAAGCCAGCAGCCCCCAAAACATCTCCTCCAAGCCCCCAGCTGATCTAAATCTGCTTTTATTTCCCAGGCACCGACAGAAAACGCGGCCGCCAGACCTACACCAGGTACCAGACCCTGGAGCTGGAGAAGGAGTTCCACTACAACCGGTACCTGACGCGGCGGAGACGCATCGAGATCGCCCACGCCCTGTGTCTCACGGAGAGACAGATCAAAATCTGGTTCCAGAACAGGCGCATGAAGTGGAAAAAAGAAAACAAAACTGCCTGCTCCGGCTCCAACAGCCAGGAAAAACCAGACGCGGAGGACGACGAGGAGGAATGAAAGGGGCGAGAGGGGGATGCAGGAAACGTGGAAACCCACGCGAGAAGAACAGGGGGGGAAAACCCACAGAAAAAGACTATATATTAAAATAGATAAAGGATAAGTGCATAAATAATTAAAAACCCTAGGAATGATACATTGTGTTTCCTGACACTGAAAAAAATACTACCTATATTAAAGTCTTTTTTTTTTTTTGTACACTAGAATGACTATCTACCTATTAAATGTGGCTTTAGAGGCGGAATAGACACATTTTTCTATGTGAGTCTTCCTATAGTACCAGTAATTTGTAAATCTCCGTTTGTACTTCGCTGTGTACTTTGGGGTATGAAGTAACGTGGTCGTGTTTAGCACCTTTAATTTAGGAGATGTGACCTGAAAGTCTGAATGCAAATGATACTCAGCCTATATAGTCCTGTACATAACATGAATGATCATTACGCCTTCTCCCTGTAACCGCTGTGGTTCTTTTCTCCTTGCTATGCTCTTTTGTCTGTGTATATTTTTACCTGGATTTCTTCCTTGTTCAAGTCTCTACGAAAAAAAAAAAAAAAGAGAAGAGGAATTAATATTGTGCTACGTAAAATGTTGTATATCAAAGTAGCAAATTATTTAATGGCGACGCGTTGCTTTTTTTTTTTTCTCCCCTCTTGTCTGTGATTATTATTCTTCGAAATAAAAAGGAAATCTCCAATAATCTACCATCGAGTTGGGTTCCTTCCCCTTTTCTTATTCAAAATAACACACGGGCTTTTGGAATCGCCTTTTCCCATGTAAAATAAATACACTGAAAGATCCTTTCAGATTAACACATGCCCCGAGCTCTCATCCTGAACTTCTCTCCTTTTTTTAGGACAGCCACTCCTTCCCAAATGTCAGTACCTTCCCAATAGATCTGGCGAACCGTACTGGGACGGGATCGGTACTGGGGGCTCGGGCTTTCTCTCCCTGCCCTCCGGCCGCGCCCGCGCCGGGGCTGCTGCTGCCGTAGGTGAGGGCAGGAGAAAGGCACAGCAGCCAGGCGCCGCCCCGACAGCCTTGCCGCCCCCCGTTTTAATGCTCTCCTCGTAACTAATTTGCAAAAACTCAATCTATTTCGCCGTGCCTTTAGTATAGATTCTTTTTTTTGCTTTTTTTTTTTTTAGATTCTCCCTCCGCCTTTCAATTACTTTACCGCGGACTGGAACTCTTTCATTAGCACCAAATAATGTTTAGCACCAAAGCACGCATAAAATAAATTAAAGCAATTAAACGCAGGAAAAAATCAACAATGCAAAACAAAAGGCGAGTAAATTTAAGCACTTGCGCGGGGGAGCATCCTCCGCCGCCCTCACCCCTCCCACCCCTGCCTGTTTATTTACATTGCCAGGCTGCGCAGTAAAGCCGCGGATTCCTCCCGCGGAGGCTCCACGTAATTTACTCCACAAATGCGTTGCGCAAGATACACAAGGGGGGGGGAAAAAAATGCGGGCGGCTTTGGAAGGGCTTGGCGGTGGCAGCTTCCCCCTGCCCCCTTCCCTCCCTCGCCGCCCCCTGCTTGGCCGCCACCCCGGCCGCCTTCGCGCCCGAAGCGAGGGCGCATCCTTCAGCAGGTTTTAGCGAAAATAAGACGCCACGTCAAGCATCTGCGCGCCCACGTCTACAGCACAGATTTGCAGTATATGCTGCATATCCTAATTACGGGAAGCCCATCATTAACGGCGGCAGCGATTATGGCTTTTTGCACGCTGAAATTCCCACTCGAAGGGAAGGGAAAATAGAGGGGAATCTTCCTTTTTCCTTCGTGGACCCCCCTTGGTGCAATCTCCTTGCAGGAGCGTTCTGTGCAGAGCGGGAACGGGGGGAAAAAAAAAAACAAAAAAAAAAGCAGCAGCGGTTCCAGAATTTCCCCCC